CCAGGGACATAGCCATTATGCTAACTGCTGGTTCCCTCTGGTTAAATTTTAAAAATAAAATGAGTGAATAAATAAAATTAAATAAATAATTATTTAAAAATAAAAAAAGAAAAGCAAAGAAAATCACACTGTGTAGGCCTGGCAGGCAGCGTGGTACTTAAGGTGTTTAATTGCCAAATGGCCAATTGCAGCTTGAGTCCTGGATCTGGCAGCTTGCGTTCTCACTTGCCCTCTCTCTCTCTGGTCAGATTAAAAATATAATAATAATGGGACCAGCAGTTAGCGTAATGGCTATGTCACTGGACTTCCATGTAGCCGACCGCGGTTCGAGTCCCAGACCCAGTGGCTTAAAACTCACGCCGTGTGCGTGCGTGCCCAAGATCCCGAGAGGAGAATGGAGGAGAAGGGATTGCGGCGTGGCCATCCCCCCTGGGGGGTGATTTCTCGCTTTCTGTCTCTCTGTCTCTCTTTGTCTTTCTGACAAGTGCACGTGCCCTATAGCAAAAACCTCTCAAAAAAAAAAAAAAAAAGGAAGGAAGGAAGGAAGGAAGAAACCCTGATCTCACTGACTTCATTTGAGGTGAGGAATAATAAGGTCAAAATACCATCAAGTGTAAGTTTGTACCATGAGCATCACCACCTTTGTGTACTTATTGTCTTTTTTTTAAAAAAAAACATTCTATTTATGTATTTATTTATTTATTTAAATTTAACCAGAGAGGGACCGAGCCAGAGCAAGAGCGAGAGGGAAAGTGAGAAAGCAAACCGCCGGGTCTGGGACTCGAACCGTGGTTGACCCTGTGCGAGTCCAGCACTCTTCACCACCACACCACCCGTCAGCCCCTATTGTTTGTCTTTTTAAAGTTTTTTTTTTTTTTTTTTAGCTACAGAGAACTGCACTTGCTGGAGAAAGAGAGACCCAGAGACAGAGACAGAGAGAAAAAGAGAAATCACCCCCTAGCGGGGATGGCCCTGCCACAATCCTGTCTCCTCCATGCTCCTCTCTGGATTTTCGGCACCACACACACACACACACACGTGCCTGGAGTGATTTTCAAGCCACCAGATCTAGGCCTCAAACCGTGGTTGGCCACGTGGGAGTCCAGTGCCTTAACCTCTGTATCCCCCGCTGGTCTCTATGTATTTATTTATTTATTTTTAAAGATTTATCTAACTTTATTTATTCATTCATTCATTTAATTTGACCAGAGTGAGACAGAAAGAACGAGAGAAAGTGAAAAAGCAAGCCACCAGGTTCGGGACTCGAACTGTGGTCGCCCATGTGGGACTGTCCAGTGCCTTAACCACCATGCCACCTGCTGGTACCCTCTCTGTATTTATTTTTGTAGCTGTTGTTTAGGGCTCCAGGATGGGAATTGCTTATCACTACTTACCACTCTGTCTAGCCACCACCCAACACCCAGGCAGCCACTGGTGGCGATAAACGTTGACGGTAGGGCTGGCAGGTGGCGTGGTGGTTAAAGACGCAGGATTCCTACTTTCCTGACAGCGGTTCGAGTCCCAGACCTGGAGGCTTGCTTTCTCCCTTTCCCTTTCTCTCTCTGGTCAAACTGAAAAGTAATAATAACAAATGGAGTTAAATAAATTTTAAAAAAAATTTTTTTTAAGTTGACAATGAAGTCTGGAAGGAGAAGTCCTGCGCTCGGGTCTGAGCGCCACATTTCCGCCCACGCCGCCAGGGGGCAGTAGCACCCGGGTCTGGCTGGGGGAAGCTGGCAACTCCAGAAGATAAGGGCGCATTCCCGCATTCCGGCATTCCGGTTGGCGCCTCTAGAGCCTTTCTCAGGCCTCCCTCCGCCCTCCATGCACCTGCTCCACCCTAGACAAAGAGAACCCAGAAGAAAACAGCCCTGAAAAGAAGAGGCTTTATTTGGGGGCAGCCGAGGTGGGGACCCTGGCCCTCTAACAGCCCAGGGAGACGCTGGTTCAGTTTGCAATTCGGTTTGTAAAAGAGCTGGACAGTTTCAAGGTGGGGTTGTGAGTAACGGGCAGTTCCCCAATGAGGGCGAAATAGTTCATCAAAGAGGGTCTGATCGAGTTCCTGGTCCCCAGTGCAGAGGGCTGACCCCTGTCCAAGCCTTCTGCGGGTCCCGAGGCCTCTCTCTGCCGGGCTTCCCCGCCCAGGTCCTCGCAGGAGCGTGTTATTTCCGGTCCGGGGGTCTCAGGCAGCTCAAACTTCAAGGTTTACGCTCCTCCTGCGGAGAGAGGCCCAGATGCGAGGCCGGGCAAGGATCCGTGCACCGCACGCAGACGCGCAGGCGCCCGGCGGTCTAGACCCTGGGACCACAGCTTCCTCTGTACCCCCTGGGGCTGCGCTCTGGACTTTGGTCAAGAGTGGAGCGCTCCAGGAGACTCGGGAATACACCTTCCCTCCTGGCCCCTGCCCTGCAGCTGCAGGGAGAGGTGGAGGGGAGAGACACGCGGGTCAGGGGGCTCCCACCTGCTCCAGACTGTTTTCCGAGGCCTTTCTGCGCGGGGGCCAGATCACCACCAACTTGCCGTCGCCCCTGCTCGCTGCGGGAGAAGCGGCGCTCAGTCGGGGTGCCCCCCCCTCGCCCTAGCCAAGACGAAGGAGATCGGCCGCACCCCTTAAACACACACAGGCGTTCACCTCCCCCCCCCCAGGCTCCCCTTCAGCTCAGGAACCTGAGGCAGGAGGGAGGTGACCCAGAGTGGAGACGGAGGTGTCCGAGGGTGCAGAGGGGACGATCCAGGAGTGTTAGAACCCAGTTAGGGTTTCCTGGAACCCAACGAAGAGGAAGACATCTGAATGCCCTCCCTGTGCCCCCCCCTCCCCCGCAACCCGCATCTCCCTCGCCAACCCAGGTGGCGTGCATCCGCTCGGGGATTGGTGATGGAGCACTGGGTGGTGGCCCAGAACGAGTAGGAAAGGATCAAAGAGTTGAGAGGAGGGTGATTCTGCAAATCGAGGGGCCGCTGCATTTGGGCAATCGGAGGGGACAGCTCCGAGGTCGCGGCGCCCAAGGCTTACCGGTGAGGCTGGGCGCCGGCTCCGTGCACTCCGCCGTGCCGTAGATACAGCGTCGCTGGCGCTGGAACTCGCGCTCGCGTTCGCGCACCTGGCGGACCTCTTGCTCCAGCACCGACGGCGCCATAGGCTGCGGGGCGCGGGCCAGCACCGGGTACCGACCA